ATTGCAATGAGTACACTATGCCTATCAACGACAAAATCGAAATTGAAGAACTTATTGCTACACAAAGCGTAAAATACCCTTTGTATGTCATTGATGAAGCACCACTTGATGATTGTGCTATGGACAATATCATTCAAACAACAAAGCGAGAGCGTTTACAAAAACAAAGACTTAGTCGTGTCGAACACGAACTTCGTTTTTTTCAGCAATGTCCGTCTGTGGTTATTGTAGATGACGATTGCGACGAGAATAATCACGATGATTGCTATAGCGAACAATCCTACGCTACAGCCACCTCATCAATGTGTTCGCCTATGCTATAAACGTTGTTGAAACTTGCTTGTTCAGCTCATCAAGATGTAAATTTTTATTTGTCTAATGAAGACGCATACCATTGCCAAACTTGTTTAGTGGTTATGCAATTTGCGATTAGATAAATCAAGTGAATGGAACTCGCTTTGGGTCGTCGTCTACAACGACATACGCGACGCTGTCGTCAAGAATCTACGTCAATCTGACAGTAGCCAAAAATCGGCGTCGGTCAGATTGCAACAAAGATATCGCCTGCTGCTTGATTGCTATCAGATGTAGAAGGGTGCTTTAGAGTCAAGCAATAACCTCAATTTTGAGTGTATATCTTCTCATCGTTAATTTTATCATCTAGTAAATTTTGGTGATCGTCTGCTCTAAGTCGACCGTCTTGATCCAAGTGAGAAAGCGTTTTTATCATATTCAGACATCCGGAGCTGCAATCGCAATCGGCTAGCATTCCCCAAAGAAGAATTATTTTCAGCACACGAATAATCTTAGATGTTCATTGATAAGCTGACCCTTTGACGGTGTATCCCATGAGGGCAGCTTACCGAGATTTATACTGCTACCAGGGTACGCGTAGCCCCGTTACATTACATGTAAATGGCCATTCGTTTACGATTCCTAGATTGAAGATAGCAAATGCAACGCGCTGTGGCTTCATTTGGAGTAGGCCAGATGAGCGATTACCGCTTCTGGTATCTTTTTTCGCCAGTTCTCTGACCCATCGGCACTTAAGATAGACAAAAGCTAGTGAAGCTGCTATGTAGCAAATGTGTAGGGGTTAAGTACACAAGATTACAGTATTGCCCCGTTACATTGGCAGTAAAGAAATCTTCAAGTGCTGACTCACTACATTTGTCAGATTTGGTAGCACTTTGGCACCGACACATCTCCAAAACGCCAACTCTCTTCAACTGGAAGTTCTCAAAAAAAAGAAAGAAAGCATTACTGTAGAAGCATCATTAAATGTAAAGTGTCACACATGAATATCAGCGGATTCCTTTGAAAGCTTATTTGCCGCTGAAATATCGTGCTTTTTTAATGTCTCTCCGTTTTGGACAGTTTGCAATGTCTGAGGCCGGTACGTTGTTGGGCTCGCTACTAAATACAGCAAGAAGCGTTGACTGTCGACTACAATGACAAGAATAAAAACGGTTTGTGATCGTCATTAATAAAAGAAAATTAATGTAGTCATGTCTTCTTTCCAACAAATCAATTTGTCAATACACACACAATCTTCGAATCTGGGATTTCTCACCGTTCTTTTTGTATTCAAAATGAAACTCCTTGGATAACGGCTAGACTATTTCTTGACTTTACCATGTCAATGTGTAGCCTCATAAGAAGTATCCCAACGCGAATCCTAAATTAAGTTTCGACCCAAGTCTTGCGCTTCCAATTTTCGTCGCGCGTCTTGATGCGTTGCAACGGCTTTAGTCGAAGCTATTTATTCCGTCATGACCACGAAGTGGAATTACACGCAAGTTGTTTCACGGAAATATTTTTTATCTGAAACGTGTTTCGTGTCACTTTGGCGACAGACGGTCATTTCGCAAGTTCTAACCTATTGACGAGACGAGATAAATGCAGATTTATCAAATGGCTTCACCTCCACGCTGTCGTTACAAAACGGGACGGTGCCCGAATCCTCGAGCTGTGAAAGCAAATGGCACTTTGTTACTACTTTGTGAATATCATCGCAGCCAACAAAATCGAACAAAGAAACGAAGTGATATGAAGTGTCGTCATGATCGTGCTAAAAAACGACAAGTGCAGCGAGAAAAATTGATAAAGAGACAGCAGCTTTCGAATTGTTCAGGAAACAATGTGGGTGGCTGGTCATCCTCGATACCACCGGTTGCTTCGATTATTGCTCCAGTGGGAGATGCTGTGGCTTACGAGAAATCTCGAAAGCTTGAGAAATCACTTGCATCCACAAGTCCCACGAGTGTGGAGTTTGATGTTTCGTCAACAAGTTGGACTCAACCGAGCTCAACGCTGTTAACGGAGCGAAACAGACTTGCACTTGAGGAACTTTGGCTTCTTCAATACTTTCTCCTTTGACAAACCCTCGAGTTGAGATATAAATGTTGTTCATTCGCTCAGATGGAAGCGATTTGAAAGTTGAAAACTTTAAAACCAAATGTTAAGCTTGAATGTGCCTAAGTAAATAATTTAAATCCTGCGTTGTCTATTGTTACGGTATTTAACGTGAATTCTTACGAAATAGAAGACGACAAAATGCTGACTTGTTATGTTCTTGTTAAAAAATCCTATCCCGATCCATTACGTTGAAATTGTAGCTTCTTTCGCAAGTCTCTGGTGGCTCTCGAGAGTGCTGGTGAGAATCCTGTTACCGTGTCAAGACCCTTAGGAGGGACATGATATTCAAACGATTGCGACACAGCCACGAAAGCAATCAATAGAACAAGTACGAGTAAAGCCATGAGATAGTAAATGTATTCGAGATGACCGTCATTAAGGTCACTCGTGATCCAAAATGAAAAGATGCTATTGAGCGCACCCGTTACAATGTACCCAAGCGTTGTTGTGAGCAAATTTAATGCCTGACACACACTACGCATCGATTCGGGCACTTCTGAGTAAAACAAATCATACGCCGAGATGCTTGTCAGAATTTCTGCTATACCCACAAGCACATATTGTGGCGTTTGCCACCAGACACTGATCGTCGACATAGGCAAATTTTCACCTGCAGCGCTGCAGTTTGAAGCCACACCTTGAATCATTGGACTGTGCTTACGAATATGTTCCGTCCAACCTGCTGCAAGCATGGCCAATAATGCAAACACAAGACCAGCTCCAATCTTTCGAAGTAATGTTGGATAGATTCCTATTTTGGTCAAAAATGGGTACAATATTCGGTCAAAGATAGGAATAAAGACCAAAATCACACCCGAGTCAACTATATTGAGCATTGCAGAAGAAAGCAATACGCTATTACTTCCATGTACGCGCAAATCCATTTGACAACCTTGTACGACAAAGTTTGACGTCATTTGTCCGTACACAGCCCAAAATATAATAATTACGCCTAAATATGGTGCTAGCCGCATCACTTGCGTTGCATCCTGTACATCTTGTGATGAAAACGTGCCACCATTTGTACGCATTGCTAAACAAAGCCATTCAGTAGCAGCACCAGATAGAATGAGTACACTTGTTCCATACGCTACAGCGCCAGCTCCTGCCAGTGCAATAGCCATGTGGACATTTTCATCTTGAATAAAGTATGACACCGTTGTAAGGACAATTCCTGGGATAAATGCTACCCCTCCACTCAGTACAAGTTTCCCACGATAACTACGTCCACCCGCTTCAATTAAAACCGAGAAAAACTTGCTTAAAGCACTACCTTTGGGTGGTACACGACGATACCGGTGCTTTCCCGCATAAAATACAAGTGTAGCCACCACAAAGGCAGCAGATGGGATCGCAAATGATGCAAAAAATCCATAATCGGCTGAAAGATAAGGTGGGAGACCATTTACTGCTAGATTTGTCAAAATGCCATAGCTAAATGTCGCGCCGACGTTAATAGCCCAATAGAACCAATTAAAAAAACTGTCTTTTTCTGCTCGTTGAGCTGGAAGAGTGACATCAAATTGGTCAGCACCCAAAACCACAACATTTGGTTTGATCCCACCAGCTCCAAAACCCACAAATCCAAAAAGTCCCAACATAAATAATGGGAGGGATGACACTGCTGGTAATGCTGCAAAGACGCACATTGCAAGTCCAGTAATGTATAATGAACAGAAGAGCATTATGGTACTAAATCGACCTAAATGACGGTCTGCAACATAGGCACCAAGTAAAGGCGTGAGGTACGAAAGTGATGTGAAAGTTGTATTGAGTTCCGTAGCCAATACCGTGCTGAGACCCAAATTTCGGTGAAAAAAAATGGGTAAAGACCCTGAGAGACCATAATATGCCAAGCGTTCGCAGAACTCGGTCACAAGAATAAACGAACAAACACTTACGATGATTGAGCGATAGTGTGGACGACTTGCTTCATTTCTTTTCGAGGGTAGCAAACTTGTCGTTTCTTCTTGCAATTGGGTCTTTTCACTGGAATTTAGCGCCATTTTCCGACACTTGCACTCTCAGCAATAAAAGAATGAATTACGTGGCAAATCCAATGACGTGGACATGGTTACACAAATCTTCTACTATACAATGATCAAATGACATTCTCCATCTTAAACTTTGAATATTAATAATTAATTACACTGACAGGTTATCCTTTTTGAAGATACGAAATTAATCCTCGCATCATAACTTTTGCTTCTCCAATCGCTTCACCAGCAATATCTCGTGCTGTATTAGTGACAGCCTTAGCATTGTCTAATGTCGACATTGCTAGCGTCTGAGCATGTTGAACTGTACCTTTAACACGCTTGAGTTTCGACGAGACACCAAATAATCGTCGAACGTTTGTCAAAAACGACACTGATCCACTAGCATCGGGAAGTAACTGAAGCGACAATGTGCCGTCTTTGTGACCTGATGCAAGTAAAATCACGGCCTCTTTCGGTCCAAAGCACGTCGCAGAGATCATCGAACCATTCGATGTCGGTGAGATATACTCTTGCACCGTCACAAAGCTGCAATGAACATTAAAAACAAAGGTCAGATGTTCGAATTCGAGTTATGTAGACATTAAGAAAGTATTCGTACTCTTCGATTCGACAGATTCGGATGATTCCTGAAACGAGTGTCAGAAAGACTAAATCACCTTCTGCTGCGACTTGAATGTCTACAATCTCTTCACCCGAGAGACAATGCGTTTGAATTAAGACTCCTGACATACTGAATAGCTGATAGATACTCGAAACGAGGGGTCTTTCCTCATTCTGTGACTGTTTTACACTCGTAATTGCAAGAATGTACCCTTTGATAGACAGACAAACCCGAACAAATTCACCATTTGATTCTGCCGGTCTAAAAACGAACGCCACTTGTCCTTCTTCGTGAATATAATGCACCATTCCAACATCTTGTGTGCATGATACAATCAGATTTAAATACGTACTTACACAACAGTCGACCAAACGTGTCGCGTGGCCACGGAAGAGCTGAATTGGACATGGCGACACACGTGGCAAGCGGAAGAGCAAATCAGGTTTTAATCGTGACAGACGCCAAAGCGCAAGTGTTCCATCTTGTGACCCTGACACAACAACTTCGTCGTCTTCATGTACCGACGAGACGCCAATGTAGTGAGGACCATGAGAATTGGCACGATCACGACTCAGACACGTGACGGCTGCGCTGTGTCCCACTACACTTGCTTTTCCAATCACGTGACCATTGTCTAGATCCAGCAAACGAAAATGCAGTGCACCATTGCGAGCTCCGCCAGAGACAACGACGCGTCCATTGCCAGTCATTACGACAGGAAAGCCACACGACCGCTGGTTTAGATGGTTATGCCTGTCCGACGCGACCAGGTCAAAGACAGGTATCCGCGGGACGTAATCGAATGGCGAATCATCGCGCACAATTTCTAAAAGCCACGGACATTCGGTTAAAAATTTCTCTCCGTTGTCCTCGCAAACAGCCAAGTCGGAGAGTAGCGTCTCTTCTTCACTTTCCCGTGGCAAGCTTGTGACGGATGAAAAGCTGTTTCGACTGACGTCGGTGGAATCACTGAAGTCGCTCGCAATTGTTTTGACATGTGGCGACAAGGACCCGACAATCGATGACGAAGGCGACACAGGCTTGGACAAGAGTTTCCAGTAGTACACTTCAACAACACCAAGTTCATTAATACTAACGACGCGATCGGGCAAAATTTTTAGCAATCGAATGCCACTCTGTGCAATTGGCTTGACACTCGCCAAAGGACTCCAGTGTCGACGCCTTTCCTGTGCAATAAGAGAAAAATCTTGAAAAGCAACGGAAAGCGGTCGAGGAACAGAGCTCGAAAGTCCACTTAAGTTGCCATCGCTCGCTGTAGGGCTTTGTCGCTCAGACACAGGAGCTGCTGGCGCGCCAGCACTCCGTCGAATTGAAGTGAGACGTTTGGGATGTGGCGTGGCGAAAAGCTGCATGGGACACTGACCAAAATGAGCAATCTGCAGCTCCATGGATTCTCGTAAAAACGGGTCATCCACCTTGTCAAGGTCGACAACTCCATAGTACGTTAAATAATAAAAAACATTATTCGCTTCCAATGACGCACGTCCACGTTGTTTGTTGCCAAAGATCAAATCAATCCACAAATGCAAGTGACTCGAGACATACTCACTCTCCAGTGCTGCACGATGAATGCGAATAAAGTCTTCAGGTGTTGCTGCCCAAGGTGGCAATTGCACATCATCCACAGCTTTGTCATCATGGCGTTTTCCCAATGCGTATCTATTGCCATTACGCAAAAACGTGCCGTCACTCGCGTAAAATTCTGGCGTCAACTCTTTTACTTCCGACATGTGCGAGTTACACATTCGCCACGTTTCTTCCATACAAAAGAATAGGCGATCCGGTAAGTCAAAAGTCCCCCCTTGCATCTTTTGATGTAACGTTGCAAATGGTTCGACACGAAAGAGGAAAAAGAGCACGACACCTGCACAAGTCGAGTAGTGAGATCCGTAGAGAAATTTTGGTATCACTGGATCATCAAACGAATGATAGCGCTCCCAATATTCGTCAAGTCGGCTCGCATTCAAAGCCCCAACTGGTTTTGACAAATCGCGAAAATTTTGTGAATCGCTCAGGTCCAATGTCGCATCGTGGTAGTTTGAAAGTACCCAGGGAAAAACGGGATACTGCGTCAGATCGTTAAAGCTTCGTCCGGCGTATGTGTTAAGCGCCATGAGATAATCAAAGTTGCTGATCTGTCCGTTTTGCCATGCTTTAGTGGTGGCGGCCAAGTGTGGAATTACCTGTCCAGGCCACTGCTTGGGCGTACTGCGAGGCAGGAATGAATATAAAACGCGCACGAATTCATTGCGTCGGTGCTTTGTCGTTCGAGGAAAGTCAAGAAAGTGTGAAATTCCACTGCGTAGGAACAACTCGATTGCTGAATCTCGCAAGCGGTAACGCCGAAGATATACGCCAACGAGATGGCGGTATTTCCATCGCCAACAGCGGTGAAGACCTGGTGCAACTTCATCCACGCTACTATTTGACCATGCAGAAAGCGTTGTGTCGTCAAAGTTGGTGATACTGTCCCTTGGCACGGTCTGCTCGGATCGATCTGGCTGAGGCTCAAATACTATATGTCTGGTGCAAAGGGACAACCGGCCTTGAACAATTCCTTCTGGTACGACACGGCGACACGTGATGCTCGCGTATACTCGATCGCCTGGCGCGACGGCAATACCAGCACCAGGGTCAAGTCCCTCATCCTCTTGACCTGAAAAAGCCATTCCTTTGATAGAAGAACCAGCAGAAGCATTCGTCGACATATTCGCTCCGTTCGTTTCCATATTAACAGTAGGAATCGTGTCCAGTTTGTACTCGTCCAGTAAATCGTCAAGCGGTTCGTTCTGCGCTTCAGTCTCTTTATCCTCAGCGTCTGTGATAGGCACGTACGTGTCTACAAATTGTGCATCATCTGTCGTAATATCTTGAATCTCCCCTCCACGCTGTTGCGCCACAACTCGACCAACGCGTTCGAGTAGGCTCCCTCCAATTACTTCATTCGAAATACACGCATCGTCTACATTATCTCCCATCTCCAAGCAATAAGACATTTTCTCCAGCGAAACCACGGAGCCTGAAGGCTGTCGAGGTTTCAATACTGCTGGCTCTACTTCTTCTACATCATCTCTTCCCGAACTTTGCATTGTCAGCATTTTTTCAGCACTTAAATATAAATCAACGTCCAAGGTACGCCGCACTCGAGATGGAAAGGGCGATTCGTACGCTCCAAGCCGCCACACATGAGTTTTTTGTAAAATCTCAAGTGTCGCGGGTGCTTTATGTTTGAACGCATCATATTCATGTTGAGATCGGAAAATAAATTCGTGCTTCATCCACAACTCTTGCGTCCATTTAAACTTCTGATCGCGCTGCACAGATGTTGTTGTCAGCACACGCTGCATTTCTCGACTCGTGACATCGCGTAATGTTGCCAGCATCCTGTTTTCTTCCACTTCCAGGGCGGCCCACAAAACCCTCTCACTTTCGTCCTTAGACTCGGCACTCGAGCACTTATGACTTTGATATCGAGTATCCGGTTGCAAAGTCCGTAATTCTCTAGCCACTGGAAAGTAAGGCACTCGATCACCCTCATCTTCTCGCTCATGCGACTCCTTATCATTGATAGCGAGTGCTAGCGTATCAAGCACAACTTCAACCGCCTTTTGCTCAGTGAGTGCGCTCAATTCGTACGATGACAAACCTGCACCATCCAATTCGCCATCAAATGATCCGGACGTACATATTCGCAATGTCAAGCCCCGCAACAAGCTCAGCAACTCTTCCTTCTTGTGAATTACCAATGCACGCCGTAGGTCCACCAAAGCATGGAGAAACACGTCACGTGTCGGCATGCTCTCGTATACACGTAGCGCTGCACCTACCGTTAGCTCTTGCTGAAAAATCTGAACTAGAAGATTTACTACACGCTCCATCATCGTCTTTGCGGTAACATAGGGTAGTGCACACTGTAGAATCTCTAGCCCAGGACATAAACCCACGCGGTGCAGTTTATGTGTACTTTGAACCAGACGAGTACAGACCTCAAGAACAGAATTTAACAAAAAAAGCTGGGCGTCAGACCACGCGTATTTGTCACTTCCTACGACTGGCAGTGTCAATAGCGTCTCGTGCACTAGAAAGAGCACGCGCTGGATATTCTCTGCCAGTGTCCGTGATAATATTGTTCGGCTGCGAGCCATCCGTTGAAGCACGATACCAACCACACGACACAGCCAGTTGAAAGGCTGACAAAAAATTTCCGACTTATGCACAAATGAAGATACTTGAGTCAGCGGTGGTAACGACGACAACGTCGAGGCGCTAAACTCTGATTCGTATTTCAATTGAATATTTCTTAAAGCCACGAGCAAGTGCGTAAACGAAGACCACCCACGCGAATTTTCCATCGCCATGCAGAGCAGCGAAACGATTGTGTCGAGCACGAGATCTTCGCCCGTTTTACTCGCATCGATGCTGTACGCTCGACCACAGCCATCTAGCTCTTCCTGACTACAATCTCGAACAGTCTCAACACCAATCGAACACGTCAGCGATAGCTCCAATAGTGCCTCTGCCCATCTTTTGTTCATCGATAGAACGAGTTGCTGGACATCTTCGTCCGTCTTGAGCTTCACATTGATGTCCATTAAAACTTTTTCACGAAAATGTGGTGTGCCATTACCAAGTAAAATCGGTAAGAATGGTAAAATTCCTGTCAATGGTAGACTCAAGATACCACTAACGCCTTCGTCAAATGATTCCGCAATAATTGCCGGGCTCTGCTCGCCTACATTCGATAAATTTCTTAACGCCATAAGTCGGATGACCGACGCACGCTTTTCCCACGTTAATTGAAGGCGTTTCCCAGTGAATGGTGCTGTAAGTTTTATCCACTCCATAAGTCCACCAATTCCTGAATTGGGCTCACCTGTATCCGGACTCATTTCTACAGCAATTCCGTCATGCCTGCCCTTTTCCTTCGATACGAGCACCTTCGTACTGGCAGATGATGCGATCGGGAACAGCAAAGAGTCCTTTTTAGACGGATCGTTCATAATAATACTGTGCTGCACACCTAAGAGCCACGCTGGATCAAAGTAAAACTCCACCATGAGTTCCACAAACCCAACAGAAAAATTGCTATGTGCGTTTAACACCAGTCGCAAATGTTCTTCCAATCCACACCAAACAGTCCTCCCTTCAATCGACTCAAGCCAATCAAGAAGGTAAATAAATAACGGTACGCACGCCATACGCACATGAATCGACAAATGACTATGAGTGGTCCTGTCAGCATCAGTGCGACGATCTTGCATGAGATAGAGCAGGCAATCCATGACACATGAGCTTATTAAAGCAAAGCGCATATCACGAAATGACACGGCAAGTCGTCGAAGCAGCAGCAACAACGACGTACACACGGCCGCGTCTTTGCTTGTCAGTAAGAATCGGATCACAGCTCGAATGTCACGAACAAGTGAAAAGCGAACTTGTATGGAGTGCAGGACACTCATTTTTGATCCTTTCTCCTCCGTATCAACTGAATTTCCAGCCTGGTCGCTCCAAGTTATACACTCAAGATTGATGCTAAAGACACCTCCTTTACGATCAGCGGATGGCGATGACGATGACGATGAAGCCGCTGGAGACGCGGATGGCGCAGAACCGCTTCCCGGCGCACCCGTAGTACCATTTCCCGCGGAACTGCTTGCTCGAGCGAACGTCGTCTCCATCAATTCTTGTTCTAAGACTTCATGAACGTGCGTACTCTGGTTTGTCAGACACACTTCAATAACTTCGACTAAAGTTTGTATGCATTGCTGTTTCCAGTGGTGGTTCGTATCATTCAACGCTGTAAGTTGATGTGAATTCTGGCTCAATTTCGTATCATTTGAGCTATGCGACGACGACGATGTAGAATAGAATACATTTAGAATCTCAAGCACTTTAGTTACAGCTCGCAAATTGTTAAATGCTCGCGGATATTCACACGCAAGTCCGTATAACTGATGATTATAAATTGATTGCGTTTTGTAATCTGCGTGACTCCACAATCGGTAATCGAGGAGAAGCGCACGCACGCCAGCAGAAAACAAAGGATTTGTAGCCCAAATAGACGGATGAATTGGATGATTCTCACCCACATTGCTGCTCCTTTTCGACATAGGCATAAGTTGAGCCAGACTTTTCACCATTTCAACGCACACGACCAAACTTCCGGGCGTCCAGATGACGGACAAACATCTACTGTGTTTCACCAGCACGTGCGAAAATAAGTGGAATACATAATTCCGCACAACTTCCTGTTGGTTATTCACACTACTTAGCAAGATACCCTTGCAGATCCACAAAAAGTCGACGACCAGACTCTCTAAAACTAAAGAAAGCGGACGTGTAGTCGTCATTTCGGAACTATTTGACGCTCGAATTGTCTTCTCATACGCAGTGCAAACATAGTCCAACAGCACAGGCAATGACGAGATGCCAGCGCATCGATACCAGGCCGCAGAAAAGTCAGCAAAAATCTTCTTCTGTGTATTCTTCCCTAAACGTGCAGTTCGTTGTTGGATCTCAGAGGATATACCTAGTGTTGTCTCGAGCGTAAGCCACTTTCCACTTTGTTTAGGACTTGTTCCTTCACAAAGCCACTCAACTCCTAGATCCGCATAGTCTTCGTTCACTACGTTCTGTGCATTAAAAGCAAATACGACTTGTAATTTCCAAAACGCTGTGAACGCTTCATTCTCGGGAATTCTCAGAGATGATTGACCTAGTACAGTACTAGCCACTGTTCGATTCGACGGTGCAGGCACTGCAGTCCAGCGATTGAAGGATGACACAGACGGTCCTAGACCGTAAATTAACTCAATTGTATCTCGTGGCATTTCTTCCTGGTACATGGTAACACTGGCCACTTTAGCTGAAGCATTTCTACCACCTCCAATCGTGCACTTAGATGCGGTTACAAGACCAGATGGGTACACCAATTCGTCTGTAAACTGCAGCTTCTTATCTACGTAGCACGTCACTTTACTCTTTTTGACATAATGCAAAGAATGCGAAAGAACAAGTAGATGCCATCGATTGCGTCTAAGCTTAACTTTATGCTGAATGCGCCGCCATTCCAGCGTCTTCAAGCTACTTGTTGCAATCGATGCCGACTTTTTCGACTCTATTCCTGTTCCTGCCGCACCACAACTAAAGTTAAGCAGCATGTTATCACTTGAATTATCTGTAAACTCCACAGATGCTTCGATACCAAGAGTATTTGATCCATTAGTGAACCGAAAGAGGTAAAATTTGGCGCATAGGTCCTCGTCTTTCTTCGTTCTTGGTCTATAAAAGTCGACATTAATCCACATTGCAACGGAAAATCCGCGAAAAGCACTCCAATCAATGATCGGAAGATACATGCGGCTGTTGTGATGGAAGCAATAAAATGCAGATGGAGGTGCGACCTGTTCGCGAGGTAAAACATATTGCGATTGATTCTCATCTTCTTCTCTGCTGCTTTCATTAGTAGGAAGGAATAAATGCTTGGCAAACTGTCGTGAGAGTGTCTGCACATCTTGTAAAAGTTGACTTCTTTCACTGGAAGAACAGTCCATAAAGCACGCTAACATAGCCTTCCGTACCAGCTCGTGCGCAGCTTTCGAAGGTGACAACGAGATCATTTCTGCAGGGTTTTCGTTGCTACTTGCTAGTGTCTCGGCTACAAGATGAGAATTGATATCAGTTTCAGTCGATATGCTTCTATTGTCTTGTAATGCTGGTAAAGGCTGCTGCATCCTCCTGGTGAAGAGGTACGTGCCCTAAATCGTGATTTTCTCGACAAATGTTGATGGCACAACACTCGCAATTGTTTGACCAGATAAATGCGACAATGTTGACTACCACAGTTCACTCTTCATGCGTGTAGAAGAGGATACGGAGATAAAATGTCCAAAGTAGTCGCCGCTGGTGTTAGAGACCTGGGACGTTTTCTTTTTCAAGATTGACAGCTTGAACGTTTTATTTACTGATGAACCTACATACTGTAGCTTCCGGAATGTACGACACACAAATAATCGCATAAAACATTTCGGATTCTTTTATCTACAAATAGGGTAAATTACTTAAGAAGACTTAATAAACGTATCCCACATCATTTACGCCGAGCTTCGTAAATGTTCCCGAAAAAAATATTGCTGCCATCGAAACCAAAGTTTCGAAAATCGGGATGCATCCGACCTTCCATCGCGCCTAAAAACAAGTTGCCGCCATTTCGGCCAAACTTTTCTTTCATGTTTTGACGATTCCAGTTATTTAGAGCTTTACCACTATGTGCAAGAACATTTATCCGCTGATTATAGCTGCCATCAATGCTAGCGCTGTGTCTTCCGAGAAAATCGTCATTTGGAGTATAAATTCGATGTGCACCGTTTAAATGATTTTTTGGAATGTCATTACTGACAAGAAAGTCATTATTTGTAGAGATTTCAGGATCAGCCCCGATACGGCGATCACCCTCGAATGACTGACTTAAGAATGGAGATAATGGGACTTCGATCATTTCTGGGTTGCTATCTTGAGTTTCGGGGGTTTGTTTGGTTGAATTAGTCAGGAAAGATGGAACTGTCGTAACGAGCGCACAGATGTTCATCTCTCGTCTCTTGACCGTAGCTGAAGTGGAAAGGACATAATCGGATATGCTAGAATTCTGAGCATTTAGATCAACTAGTGCGCTAGGAGCTGTAACAACGTCATCGGACGATGAGACAGTGTCAAAGCTGATGGATGGAGCGGTGACAGCAACTCGAAGGTGTTGCAGCGCCTTGCCAGAAACAGAATTAACAATTTTCTTGGTCTTTTTAGTGCTTGTCTTCACTTGTCGCATGTGATGGAGACCCTTGTTATTTTCATCAATCTTAGTCGTTTGAGCGTCATTTGTTAGCTGTAAACCACGTAGGAAAGGTGCTGCCCGAACATCGTCTGTGACAAACAGACACAGCGCAAGATAAGTCGAGAAAGCGGCGGCGCTTTTCATAGTCGTGTAGAAGATTGGTAATAGTGAGCTTGATTTGATCCTCGTAAATTGAGAAATGAAAGGCAGTTGCGTTACCTAGCACAGACATCATCCGTCACGACATCTACGGTGACCGAAGTACATTTCTTTCAGTCGACAAACATTCTTATCAACTATTAAAAGCAATTATAGCTGATGGCGACAATGATTGACTACGTTGTGAGCAACAACCTACTAAAATACAATATTAAGATGTTTATTTGGAGCAAGACAATCGCGTTCGAGGCCCTTGAGTAGCTTTACGTCCACACCCGCATTCTGAAGCAATTGCACTCCGTTACAGATGACAAACGTCTTTGGTTCCATCACACCAATGACCACACGAGCTACTCCCGCACGAAGGCAACTTTGTACACATGGAACATTGGCTGACAACCTCTTGCTACACGGTTCCATCGTTGTGTAGACGGTAGCGCCGTCCGCCTTAAAATCAAGTTTAGTCAGGGCCACTTGCTCTGCATGCGTATTACCTGACACCTCGCGCGAGAATCCGGTACTTAGCACAAGTCCGTCACGCACTACGACACAGCCAACACAATACGCACTTTCGCAAGGTTGCGATCGATGCGCCTCTGTAATGGCCATCCGCATGAACGCCATGTCCGAGGCGTCCTGTAAGGTTGCCATATTAAAAGAATAAATTTATTCCGATAATTATGTTATCAAAATGTTGACGGCTCAAATGTATGATCATCTTAATATTTAGTACATGGAAATCGTAGCATTTTAAAGTGTATAAGTTTTGCGTCGAAAGCGTCATGTCGTGCTATTGTCGTTTGTAGCATGTTAGTTTGCCCTATCGTATTGAAGTCAATCAAGCTTCGTTCCGCCATGGACCTGTACTTGATTTGGACAATCTTCGATATTCAAGATACTTTAATTTGTTTTAGTAATACATTTAACAAAAGATATACGTCAATAACAGCATGAAGTTAGTTTGATATCTCTACCACGCGACATGCTCATCAATACGGCGAGGTAGTCGCCGCAACATGCGCGCACGGCATCGCATTGACATCGTCTTCGTCACGGGAATTCTTGAACCAGCTACAATGTTATTCATCGCGTGCGGAGTAGATAGCTCTGGTGGAATCTGAACGGGCGGAATAACCACGCGCTTAAGTTTAAAAATGTTGAAGCGAGAGTGTTGCTGGCGCGAGGCATTTGCCAGAAGCAGGTCTTTCAAACGTTGCGCTTCTTCTGGCAGGAGCTCATACGGTTTGCTATTTTGAGCCAGTGCAGGGTACCCAGCATGCTGAGTCTGCAAGATTTTTTTTGCCGAAGCACTTGGCGAGCTGACGGGTGTGGGCTGAAAAGCTCGAAAGAAGACAGAATTAGCTTCTGTCTTTCCGAAAACGACTTGCGTCGATCCGAACATCTTCAACAGTGACCAAGACATAGAGTGTGTCGCCAGACTTTCCACAACTTGGCCTTTCCGAACCATATGCGGCTAGCAGTGCAGCAGGATTACCGCTCGCATTTTGTGACTTACCTCAAGGAGCGGTTTACCCTGACAATCTTATATATTCAAAAAGACATTTGGCAGAGGTTTAATATCAGATTCAAATATCCCTGCAATAATAATTGTATTTGGAATCTACCTGTTTATAGTAGAAGAGTCGTTTGACCAATTATAGACTGCTGCAGAGGTTCTTGCTTGTGACTTTTCCATGCAGAAGCTTACAGAACCGCATGGATGAAGTTTGTTTGGCTACCTGAAGCATGGGATGCGTCTTGCAAACGACCCATTCACGACATCAGATCTCATAATATTCGAAATGAAGTTTGGCAGTTCGTCTTACACATGCATGACGACATCTTGTAGTCTAATTGTCAATCATAAAGTCGCATAAAAATGTAGCGTCCTGATGTGTTCACGCACTTTTCCTGCCAAAACCTTGAATGTAAAGTAATCTTGTTATACTAACAGGTTACTGTGCTGAACCCTCTCAATTGACAGAGCAACCATCGCTGCTTGCTCAGCACCCAAACAGATTGCAACCATTTAATAAGATTAATATAGACCAGTTTTAAATACCGGTATTTTTCTCAGCTGTCTTGACATCACGTTCGAGAAACCTCGCACAACAACACTAAATATCTCCCTCGTCTCACAGTGTTTTGGTCTCTTATGTCGAGGAAATATAACAGATAAGGAGTATTCTTCTAAGAACTCACCGACAACTTATTCAAACAGCATGTGACCATCCATGCTTCATATCATCATTTTGCCGCGAGAGCTGCATCAGGAGCGGGATCACAACCTAGCGCAATCAGTCGCCCGTGCAGCTTTAGCCTCGATAAGCATTCACAAGTCGTAACTTAATGCATTGCTTACAATGTGCAGCATGGCTTTTGCAAGTACCAATCGTCTCCGCAAGAAAGCATCGGTGATGGAAGGACTTTCGGTACATTTTTATCAGGTGCGGAATTTCTATCATGATTGAAGTATCTCGTCTTATTCGTGAAGCTGCGGTGATCGCTCGAGAAGATCGCGGATGTGGATTGATCTCATCGAGCTTCCCTCGTATAATGGATAAATTGTTTGTTAGAGGCTGATACATCTGCTTTCAGAGTGCGACAGCCTTCTGACAGTCACAGAGAAACTATCCCACACCTTTTGTCACTAAAAGTAGCCTATGAATGTAATCTCAGCTGGCTCTTTTTTACATGAGCTGACCATTTTAAGTTATTTTGAAGAGCTCGCGAAAAAAGAGTCCTACCTTCAAGGTGCATATGTGTATCCTCAAGATTGCTCTTGAATCTGGTAGGGTTGATAAACCGCTAAATATTGAAGCCGTTTAGAATACTGAAAGATGCAGAGTGGCGTGGCTGTGGGAACCCAGAAGTGTCGCGATTTGATTTATCGTTTTGACAGTCGGCCAGTCTGACTGAAAGTTCGAGACTATGAGTCATATTGCGCTACTGTATTGTGGATCTGCTATAATAAATTTCGCACATTACTAGAATAAAGTAACATTGATTGTACCTATATTCGCTGACGTCAACTTGGATTTCAGGAGATTGTACTATCTGTGTAAATCAATTCAATATTCAAGACTATATCAATAATAGTATTGCGAGCGATAAGATTGTCGCGACGAGAAAGGAAACCAAACTAAATAAATATGATGAACGCATTTAATGTGCGAATCAATTGAGCTTTTTCGCCAGCGCTACGTTCCAAATTTACGTCTACCGCAGGTGGTACTCCTTAGAAAGGCGACCTGCGGGCTGTTAAGAACGCGCTTGTTGCAACATTTGGTCACCGTTTCGCTCTGGCTTTGAAGCCAGTACACAGACGTGCTAGGGCTTCGCTGTGGCTTAGTGCTCAAATGTTAAAATCACGACGTGATTTTGTCATGAGAACAATGATGTCTCTAGGGTAAATTTGCAAAAGTGAAACTACATGAGCAGCTTTCGAATTGAGAGTATCCTTTCATCTTCACCAAATGGTGGTTTAAGCCCTGATGGCCCTGTAGATTCAGTATCTGCTTCACATGAAAATGAAGCGCCCCAACACATCAAGGAGAGCTGGCCGATGACAGAATTTCGAAAGCTAAATCTGACAACTTTCTCGTGTGTGGCAGCGCGTCGAATCTTTCCGCTTGCGACCGAGGCTAGCATCGACCATTCCTCAAATGCACTCTCGAACCACTAGATTCGGGTCACTGATCTATTGCCAAAGTTAGGTCATTGCAGGAGTTGTTTAGACGTTGTTTTGAATTAAATAAACGGCTAGGATTGACCCACGTAAAGCACAGGATCTGCCAGCATTCATTTTGACATATTAAGAAGTAACTCACATCATTTCTTAATACGATCGTTAGCGGTACAATGTAGCAAGATTGTGTGTATAAGGTTACATCAAAGACACTGCTTGTGTGGGTGTTTCGTAGATATTGTCACTAGCTTTGCAAGAACTTAGACAAACATGAGACATCGTTTGTCTGGTCTATCTGCGACATCTGTATGATGAATTTAAATAACCGGGTCTTCAGCCGGAGCGTCGCGCACTCGTCGATGACACTACGTCTTCTAGGGTTTGTGACAAATTGGATTAGCAATTCGAATTGTTTCGACAACTTCCCTCGACACAAACTGAGCCAGTTTGAAACAGTATCAAGATGACACGAAGGGTTGAGCGGACAGCTTTTGGAAATGAGCAAAGCCTGTAAAAATGTGCACTGAGTTTTCCATGTACACGCAATAAATAAAATTTCGCCTCAGCACCGCGTTTTAACACGCTTGAAAGACAACGACCAGCAAAAGATATTCTTTATCGTGTTCTAAGTACCTTCAACAAAGCTCGCAAAAACCTGACCGTATCGTACAGATCTCGACCCGAAACATTGGGCGACGTTTGTGACGCTTTTGTCCAAAAAAAGGTTGGCTGTATCCTCATTGGTTACTGTATCATTGTCAGCAGCGTAAGGGACCAAGAAACTCGCTGAGCAGGCCCATTTTCAACCTACGGATCGCCACTTATTATAAATATCGCCTGTGTCTTAAGCAGCAACGGTAGGAGAAGCCCGCACCCTCCACGAGGGATGTGTGTTAGCTATTAGATACTGGCGAGTGCACTACTGAACACTGAATGAGAAACATACCCTCTTACTTATCTAAACAGCTTCTGCAATGTACGCCAAGAGCGTCATCTCATGCTCGACCTTGCACAGTTTAATGCACGGTGTGGACGTCGAGGTTATAACCCACCACTCAACTTCCTGCTAGAAATATTTTTACTCGTCTCGATGAGATAGCTGTAACAACCAAAGGTCCTCTACATCGTAAGGTCGGTCATATCTTACTATTAGGAAGCATGTTGTGATGGCGTTCTCGCCTGAATCCTGGGTGGGCGTAAAGTTTCAGGGTGCACCAGGTCGAAAGCGGCCACGGCACCGCGGTAAACTTGCCGAAGTAAACTTCATAATCCATTGAGGTTTCAAAATGAAGGTATCCTTTCCACTTCACCGGATACTGGTAGCAATTTTACCAAAAGCTTTAAGTGGAAGTGGTCGCCACTACCTGGTCGACTCTACTGTGACTGGCTCTGGTGAGCTCTCTCAATTATAGTGGCCCTACAAACTCCTTGAAAGTGTGGTGTGCATCCGAGGCGGAGACAAGCTCTAATTCGCTCTTTGAGTTTTGTCTTCGCACTGCCTGCATTAAATGACCTTTAGTAGCTCAAAACCGTAGAACTACTTAAGTAAGAGTAGATATCAGTTACGGGGGATAGTGAAGGCGTTACTTCGTCTGTAATTCTTCAAGTCAGGCAGCATGGATCAAGGTGTAGCCTCAGTGCCTACATTGAACGCTGGGTGTGTTTGCAATCGCTTCAACGGACACTGCATGTATACGAAGTTACTCGCTCGAAACTATTGTCTCACAGCATATTTCCGTGTATTTTGCCCGGCTCTGACATCGGCTTATTGTTTGTTTTGATATAAGCCATAGTGTCATGTATCCAGCGCATGGTGTCCAATCTCATCGTAACAAATGACTGATTTTTATAATAGGTGTAGCCGCGTTGATATCAGTAAGTCATCATTGGTCAACACCCCTTTATACTACTAAACCAGGGCCACTTTGTGGTGGATGCGTGGCACTCGAGAATTCACCGAAGCTTCATGTAACATGGCTTAAAGGATGTGGAGGCATGCTTGTTAATCAGCGTAGACTCGATGAATAATCACAACTGCTCAAGGCTCACGGTATCTACACCTGAGTGCTGCGTAAAAGATTTTTCACCACGTAATTCACGCTGTTTGTCTGATAATCTGTTTGCAGATTTCCAGCGGCTGACATATCTAAATGGACGCCGAGCACCTCAAATTGTGTTTGCGAAATTCTCGCTGTGCAGGTCGGACATTAATCTAGTACAATGGATACCGACAAAGCATGTTGGCGAACCACTTTGGAGGTGAACATCCTGGTTGTATCTTCATCGGTAACATTATCGCTGACGATAGCAAGATAGACTATCTTACTCGAATCGCCCACAAGGACAACAATTCAGGTATTACCCGATGCGTTCATTACAAGACTGGCATGTAGCCCATAGTTATCGACTGGATAATTTCTACCGGAATCCGCAGACTGACAAAAGATGTCGCCGCATACTGCGAAGGATTAATCCGCTGGCACAGTACTCGCACGCGCACATCTGCGTTTCTCGCTTAGAGATGCTGGACCATAAAAACTGAGCAGTATGTTTTTTCTTGTCTGTGGTGGCCGCTCAAAAAAGCATCTTGTGCATCTTTTACTATTTCGTATTTGAAGTCCATTGATTCATCTAGAGGCTGGGCATCATGTGCTTCGAGATATGCCATACCAATACAGACCTCCAATAATGCGCTTTGATTGAGCGCCAGTTGAAGTCTCAGAATCATTAGTACTAAAAGCTCCATGCTGTGTCCGATCCGCACACCGTATGTACAAACT